CCTGCAGCAGCAAGAATCTGACCACCGCCCCCCCCGGTGCCACCCAGATGAGCCGCCTGTGGAACCATCCTGTGATCCACCCTGGGGGGCCATTCATTGCCCCTGCCCCACTTCCTCCCTCACAGTGGGGATGCCCTGACTTACTGGCCTGCCATGCTGCATTCCTGGCTCTGTGCGTGCTGTGGCTGTGCACATGCATGTGGCATTTGTCGGTGACATTATCGACTCCATTGGCCAAAAAAAAAAAAAGATTGCTAATAATGTTAATTTTCCTTTTATTGGTGCCAATCTGGTATGCCACTGATGTATTGGTGTACCTCCATTAAATAGTTATCCCAGGTCTTTGTCTTCTCTGACTGCAAGCTTCTGGGCCTGCTTAGTTCAGGAGCAAATCAGATCTTCCTGCCCCTTCAAAATGTTTTTGCAAGTTGAGAGGGGAGCTTTGCAGTATTGTGGCACAGTGTAATTCATGGCTCTTAGCAGCTCTGTTAGAAATAGTTATTGGGCTTTAGTTTGAGGCTCTTGGGATCCCATTCTTTGCTAATGGCCAAGAATGAGACGAGTGGATGGAACATTATATTCTCTATTATCTCTTACTTTGGTGAGCTTACTTTCCCGCCACCTTACATGCCCACCCCAGGTTTCTGAAAATGTGGCTGCCTCTTCTTGCTAATTGACTGTCCCATATTTCCTTTGTAGCATCTCTGAATTGCATAGGCAGGGAGCCTTGGCTTCACTAATAGAAACCAGTGGGAATACAATCTGAGAGCAGCTGGGGAGACTTGTTACAGCCTAATGATTACTATAGCATTACACCCACCTCATGTCCTTTCTGCATGAGAAAGAAAGGGCCACTTGCTGTAGTGGAACATTTGATTTTTTTTTTTCCATGAACGGAGAAATTTGATCTTTGATCTCTGTTGTCTTGGCAGCTCCTTGTGCGACTGACCTGTTGCAAGATGCACAACTTGAATTCTTGCTTCCTGGGTTTTTAACTCTTAATGTTCTTAAAAGGTTAAATATACCCCAAGCCCAGATGTGCTTTCATTACCTTTTTGAGGGGGAGGTGGGGTGTCAGGACACACTAATTGTATTGTGGTGTAATGCCTGTAAACCCTCCTCATGCATCAGGGCACTGAATGCCCACAAACCAAAAAAGAAGACAAATTCTATAGCAAAGAGCTTACCCATAAAGGTCTGAAGAGAACATGGGCCTTTGGGAGATGGACATTTTATCCTCGGCCCAAGATCTGAAAGGTGCCTCTCTTCAGTGCCTAAAATCTGCTGTACAGAAGTCCCACTCTTTAAGTCCTTTGGAGGTCTGACAGGTGGTCCATTCCACTGTTGCCTATCTCTTCAAATATGCATGAGGAGCACTCCACTCCTGTCTCATTCAAGCAGTTATTATTTAGATAAGGGTTTTGGCTCATTGGCAAATCTTGTGGGATCATTGGGGTCCTCTGAGTGGTTTTAGTTGCCCCTGTTGGTGGAAGAAGATGCAGGTGAAGTGCTGATGATGCACTTCATCACTTTTTGACCTTTGTTTTCCCAAGCTGCATTTCCTAGTTTCAGATTGCACTTAGTTGTGGGGTATAATTTATAACCCACTGATGGCTGGCTGTGGGAGTGAAAAAGAGCCATAATGTTCTGCATCCTTGTAGGAGTTAATAAAGAGCAGTTTCTTTTTCCCTGTGCCAAGGAGGACTTAAAAACCTTGGAGGATCTGGGAATTGGTGTTCCTTCTAGGATCTGTACTCTCAGTGACTATTCATTGAGGTCTGAGCCGCTCCAATCCTGACTTGTTCTTATGTCATCTTTCCCCTGCAGAGGCAAAACTCAGGTCGCTCTGAAAATTATTAAAAATGTGGGGAAGTACCGAGAAGCAGCCAGACTGGAAATCAACGTCCTGAAGAAAATCAGAGAGAGAGACAAGGATAACAAATTGTAAGTTCCACCATTTGAAGGGTTGTTACTGGAGCTGGGTGCTGTTTGCATCTCTTCACAGAGGATGGAGGTTGGTTTGTACAGGGTAATATGGAGGAGAGCCCTGAGCAAAAATAGCATGGAAACATAATACCAGTCTTTTCTCTGTACCTTGAAAGTGATCCCATCTTCACCCTCATCCACTCTCATTTCAGTATTAGGAACACATGATGACAGTTTTTTGTAATAACTACACTTTGGCAGACTCCAAATGCCTGTTTGCTCATCTCTTTGGGTGGGGACATACAACATGGTTACTCCAGAGTAGTTTACTACCCCAGCTTTTCCTCTGCAGTGAGGAGTGGGAATGAAACCAGATGTGCTTCCTCAGAAGTAAATTTACATATGAGATCAGCATTTCTTCCAGACTGTTGAGAATACTCTGGAGTAAATGTGTTTGTGTGCCGTTTTGCAGGAGGGAAGGCTGAGAACTTCACTATTTTGTGTAGGCAGTGACATTCTTGCCACCCTTTTTGCGCAGTTTGTGTGTCCTGATGTCAGACTGGTTCAATTTCCACGGCCACATGTGCATCGCCTTTGAGCTTCTGGGCAAGAACACATTTGAATTCCTGAAGGACAATAACTTTCAGCCATACTCCCTCTCTCAGATTCGGCACATGGCATACCAGCTGTGCCATGCCTTGAGATGTAAGTTCACCAGAGTCCCTTACTGGGGTTGTCTGCTGAAAAGAGCTCAGTTTGGTCCACTACAGCTAGTGTCTGTCTCCAGAAATATCAGCTTGTTTACAGGAATGCTAATAGTGTTGGAACATTCTGGGAAATTCCCCTATTTGAAGTGTGTTAAAAACAGGTGAGAGACTCTGGATAGCAAAGTGGGGAGGTGGGTTTGGGAATGTAATTGCAGGATTTACCTTTTGAAACGAAGGAAAAGCAGTCTTGTAAGCTTTTCCATGTGGACATTTCAGCCCGTATGGGAAATGTTTTATAGTTAAAATATGATGTAGTAATCAATATGAATTGGATAAGAGAAGTCTACATAGCATAGTGAAAGTCATGGTGTTACTTTGATGGATGCTGCAGCACTTTCTATGAATTCTGCTTCACAAAGCTGTCCCTGGGAAGGGAGGGAATGAGCAGTGTCTTGTGTATTAGACAAATCCATGCACTGTTCAGTACTTCATACTTATATGCTTCTTCCCACCCCTCTGTGCAGTTCTGCATGACAACCAGCTGACTCATACTGACCTCAAGCCTGAAAACATCTTATTTGTGAATTCAGCTTTTGACACCTTGTACAATGAAAAGAAGGTAGGTTCTGCCTGAATGAGAGGGTAAGAAATAACTCTGCCTTGCTTCCTGCCAGAAATAGTTTTCTTCTTTCCTATTTCATGGTTGAGCAAAAGGGCAGTTATGTTCAACAGCTTGAACAGGAGACTGGAAGTAAGGGGACCTGAATTCTCTTCTTTGTTCTGGTGTTTGACTCTCTGAGATCCAGAGCTTTTGGCTTCTCTTTTTTCCAGTGTGTAAAATGAAGAGCACTTGGTTACCTGCATTAAAGAGCTTTTGAGGTTGTAATAAAAAATGTGAAGCTTCTGGGTTTTATGATCCTTTCTGTTGCACAGACATATGCACAAAATTTCTGATGGGACTGAAACAGTCTCCCAAGGGTTACTGACGCTTGCTTTTTGTGCGTTGCAGAGTTGTGAAGAGAAATCAATTAGGAACACAAGCATCCGTGTTGCAGACTTTGGAAGCGCTACTTTTGATCATGAACATCACACTACCATCGTTGCTACTCGGCATTACCGCCCCCCAGAGGTGATTTTAGGTAGGTGATGTTAGGCTTTTCTATCTTACTGATGGATCACAGGGACAGGGTGAGAGGGGGCAGGCAGCTCTGGAACAAAATAGTTGTACCATGGGATATGGTAAGGTAAAGGCAGCATGTTACAAGAAAGCCAGCTGAAGATTTCCAGTTCCCAAGCGGAACAAAGGGATAATCTTCACTCTGCATATTTAAGTGGGAGGTTAACTTTGCTGCAATGTTAGGTTTGTTGGAGGTGAAGGTCAGTGTGCTGTTGGAAGACTGTTAAGACAGCATGTTCTTTCAACACATCCAAGGCCTGGAATAAAAGATTTTTGTGTCTACACATTACTGACTGGGCAAGTGCACAATTTAGATCTCTGCCACGCAACATCCCTAAGATACTCCAGGAAGGTATAAGCAGTTGAGTTGATCTGACATTATTAAATAACAGGGGATATAGCATTATCCAGGCTGAAAAAGAATAGACAGCTATTTCCAGGCTTCTGATTCCCAGAGGGTTCAGTGATCACCCCATTGCAGAAGCCTACCAGGTGTGTAGGTGTTTAAGAGGCCTGTCTTGGTCTCTGCAGCCCAGAAAGGAAATGGAAAGCCACCAGTGGGGAATTTTGTTCTAGCTCTATGTGTGTCATTGGAACCATAAAGCAGGCATTCTTCTCTTTGCAGAGCAGAAACAATACTCTCCAAAAATATTCGTACCCTTGGTCAAACTATAAGCGTTATCCTTTCATTTTAGTGTCTTAAGTTCTTTTGCTTACTAAAAATAACATTCTTTAAGTTTTCTGGATGCTGAAACCTATAGTAGCACAGGGGTTGGCAGCCCCCGCACACATGCCAGAGCATGGCATGTGAAGTCATTTTGCTCGGCACGCTGCAGCTGGCCTGGATTCTGGGCAGCTGCCACCAGCCACAGATACCAGGCTGCTCGCAGCAGATGGCTAGGAGGCTGCAAGCAGCCTGGGCTTCATGGCAGGCAGCTGGGAGGCTAGAAACAGCCGCACCAGGGTCTGGCCAGGCTCTGCGATGGTCGCAGCTACATGCATGCCTCAGGGCATACAGTCGGGAAGGGTCAGGGTTGTGCTGCCCTAGCCCCTCCCCTGCCATCCTCCTAGTGGTGTGCTTGCAGCCACTGCCACCACAGAGCCTGGCTGATGCTCTGGACCCCAGTGCAGCTGTGATCAGCCTGGGCTTTGTGGCCAGTGGTGGCTACACATGCTCCTCTGGGCCTGCAGTGGAGAAGGAGCCTGGACAGTGTGCTAACCCGGCCCCTCCCCCATCATCCACCCGGAGGTGCACTTACACCTGCTGCCAGCAGTGAGGATAGGGCCCCTTGAAGCTCCCCCACTGTGCCCTTGGCAGAGGGTCGAGGTTGGAGTGTTTTTGGCACTCCAACCAAAAACATTGCCAACCTCTGGTATAGCAGGAAGATGGTTCTGTTAGTCTTTGGAAGAGTTTGGGTTTACATCTTGTTTGATGTCCTTGTGTGGATAATGCCATTGAATAGGGTCACCATATTTCCAGGTCCAAACAAGAGGATGCCTGTCACACAAAGGAGGGGAAGCAGGGGGAAATATGACTAGGGGAGGGGGGCAGTGATATGCTGGTGCCCTGCCCTTGCCCATTCTGTTGCCCCTCACTTCCAAGCCACAGCCCCTGCCAGCCACCGCGCCCCCCCCACCCCCTCGATGGTGGCCCTCACTCCCAACCTGCAGATTTAAAAAAAAACAAACCCCGGACAGAGATCTGAGGGCTCAAAAAGAGGATATGTCTGGGAAAACATGGACATATGGTAACCCTACCATTGAAGTAATCCCAAATTGCTTTTCCTCCACAGACCCATGAGAATCGTGAACACCTTGTAATGATGGAAAAAATCCTCGGGCCAATTCCATCTCACATGATCCACAAAACTCGGTGAGGACCAGCTGCTGAACTTTGAGCAGCTAGCTAGTCTGTCCTTGTGTGTGGGTGACGGTTAAGTAGGCAGAATACCAACTCCTGAGACCCTGCCTCAGAATCCTAATTCTGTGGTTATAGTCCAGGAAGGACCATCGTAGGGTCAAGAAATGACTTAAGAAATGTCTTAACATGGAATAAACCTTCAGGGAAAAATAGCTGAGCAGCCTATGAATTACAGAGCTCATTATGTAGTGCCCACAAGGAGACCTTGGCTGTTATTTTCTTTCATGCTGAGTAACTATCCCAAGTTACGATAACAGTGAATTTTAAAGTAAATAGAAACACAGTCCTGACACATCAAAGGAGTTTTCAGGCAGCCTGGTCTGATGGCCAAGGTATGACAATGGAAGATGGCTGACTGGCTACTTTTTCTGCTTTGCCACTGACACCTGATAGGACCTTGGATATGATTTCACTGCTGTGCCCATTTTTTGCTCTCTGTACAATGAGAACAATACCACCTTTTATAAAATGCTTTTGAAATATATGGAAAGTTCCATAGAGGGAGATGCTCTATTATTAGCCATTATGAGTCTAGCTTGGCTTTTTAAATGGCTCTTCTAAATAGCCAAAATGGCAATCCAGATGGCCGGTATAATGCTCTGGGATTTGCATTCTGAAAGACTTGAGAAAAGAAGAGTCTCAGGAAGCTTTTGGCTCACATAATAAAGGTAGGGTAGATTTGCACTTCATAGATGTGCTGTCATTGTGCATTGTAATGTGTGATTGTGTCATGAAGTCAAGTATTAGGACTGGTGCCTTGTCTTAAAGTGAGGTTGTACTTTCCCTTGGTTCTCCCTCTTGGGTATGGTATTTGTCTGGATGCTTTTTTAAGACTCTCAAATGACTTCTTTCATTGTACAGGAAACAGAAGTACTTCCATAACGGGAACCTGGTGTGGGATGAGAGCACATCTGACGGAAGATATGTCCAAGAGAACTGCAAACCACTGCGGGTAAGAAATGCCCAAGTGCTTTGATGGTGTAGAGTGTGTGGGTGGCTCTACAGTGAATGCTCATGTTCGTTGCTCCTTGTTAACCCCCCATGTATTGCCTGCAATGTTCTGGGAGTCAAAAGCTGGAGTGTGCTGTTGTCAACATATAAATGGCAGGGGAGACTGTTATAGTTTCATAGTAGCTAGGGTCAGGAAGGACCTGAACAGATCATCTAGCCTGACCCCCTGCCACAGGCAGGGATGAATGGTGGGGTCACAAGA